GAGAACTTGTCTCAGAAAACAAAGAAAATTTAAAAAGTCTTATGACAAATATTCTCTCCTTGATGTAACTCTAGCTGGGCTCTTCCACGCCCTCTTCCAGACTGGGTCTCAACTATGTCCTAGTAACACAAGTTGTTTGGTCTACCTCCTTTCCTAAAGTTAAAAGACTTAAAAAGCTAGCAGTTTCTAATAATGCAAGGCCGCACTCCCAGGTTCCCCCCCTGAAGCATCTGGCAGAGTGCAGGCTGCCAAAGAAGACCCTGGTGTAGCCATCCCTGCACTCAGCCCCCTGGCTTCCTTTTCTAGAGCACTTACGGTGGGGAACCCTTCCTCCGTGTCTTTGGGATGTAAATGTGTCTCCCACAACTGAGGCAGTCTTTCTCAAGGACCCAGCTGCCACTCATTACAATGTAAATGCCAGAGAGGAGAGGACCCCAGCCTCCCCATCTCTGCAAAGATGGAATTTTAACCTTGATAACTCCCTGGTAAGGAATACCTGCCAGCCTGATGCATTCACCAGAACCAACCTTGTGTAATTTTTCACTTCCTGTCTCTAGGGAGTCCCTGCTTGCCCCCTCTCTACTCCTTCCTTCCCCTGTTGAATTCAGCCTCTGCTGTACAATGTGAAGTCGGGTTTATTTCACACTGGACTCTCCTGTTGCAAAATAGTATAGTATGATCAACTCTGTCCTTCCCACTTGGCCTAGAGACTGACTCTGCTTCTCTTCTAGCACAGCACTTGGTGCATAGTAGATGCTCAATAAATATTTCCTGCCTAAGAAAATGTTGATTAAAATCATTCATCTGTCCTAGTTATCTATTGCTGCATAACCAATCATCCCCAAATGTCACAGTATAAAACACCCACCATCCTATTATGCTTAGGCATCTGTGGGTCAGGAATTTGAAAAGGGCATCTTTCTTTTTAGTTTCTTTTTTTGGTACCAGGGATCAAACTCGGGACCTTGTGCTTGTGAGGCAGGCACCGGAACCACTGAGCTAAATCCCTGGCCCTTGGGCATCTTTCTTGAGATGACCTGAATAGCTCAGGGTGGAAGGCATGGTTAGGGAGGAGCTCTGTTGCAGATGGCTTCTTCAGGTACCTGTCTGATGTCTGGGCTGGGTGGGAAGGTTAAAGATGGGGCTTGGCCGACACTTGCCCAGCCAGTGGCCTCTCTAGCACAATGGAACCAGAGCAGTCAGATGTCTTGCCTGGCCGATCAAGGTTCCAAGAACAGTGATCCCACAGCAGCACGGAAGCTTTGTAGCCTTTATGCTAAGCCTCACAAGTCACAGAGGTTTACTTCTACCTTATTCTATTGATTGAGGCAGTTAGAACTCTGCCCGATTCAAAGGAGGAGCATTAAAGAGTTTGCAGCTTGGGTTGGGGATTTAGCTCAGTGGTTTCGCCACCTGCCTCACAAGTGCAAGGTCCCAAGTTTGATCCCTGGTACCAAAAAAAAAAGAGAAGAGTTTGCAGCTTTGTTTTAACCCCCCCCACTCTCAGAACCAGATTTGGGAGGCATTCTCTTGCAATTAATCCTTTGTATCAGTGAAGAATAGATTGGCCTCACAAGACAGAAAACACAGAGACAGTGGCTTAAATGAGATAGCTGTTCATTTCTCTGTCACATAAATGAGGCTGGGAAGAAGGCAGTCAGGATGGTTCAGTCTCCATGTGCTAGGTACCGGGGCTCCAGTTTTGCCTTTTCCTTGCACCTGTCTCAGTGGATGGCTTTTGTCTCATAACCCAGGGTAGTTGCTTGAGCTCCTATCTTCACATCCACTATCTGCCCAGCAGGAATAAGAAAGGGTAAAGAGATCCTTTTAAGGACTTTGCTTAGTCCTTAATGTAATCCTTTGTTTAGCAGGAGGATACAGGCAGTGACCTCTGGATGCCTGAAACCTTGGAAGTACTGAAAATTATATATACTATACTTTTCCTATTCCTTACCTATGATGGTGAATTATGAATTTAATTCATAATTTATGAATTAAATCTATAAATGGAATAATAAAATAGAAATAACAATTTACTGTAGTATCAGTTATGTAAATGTGATCTCTCTGTCCCTCTTCTTGGACTGTATTGCAGTTCTTAGCAACCTCAACATATAATTTTTTTTCTTCACTAATTCATTTGAGAACTTTTACCATTTCACTTAAAGGAAGTACTTTATGACTTCTTTTTTGATATATTTGAGTTGCCAGAAGCACAACTCTTGTGCTTGGGGGCCATTTTTAAGTAAAATAAGAGTTACTTTAATACAAGTACTGCGATAATCACAACAGTTGATCTGAGAACCAAGACTGGTATTGACTAAGGAGCAGGTAGCATTACAGTGTGGACATTCTGGATGAAGAGATGACTCATGTCCCAGGAAAGACAGAGTGTGATGGTGTGAGATGTCATCATGCTACTCAAAATTTATAAAATTTATGAAATCTATAACTGTTTATTCCTGGAATTTTCCATTTAATATTTTTAGGCTGTGGTTGGCCACAGGTACCCAAAGTGTAGAAAACAAAATTAGGGAGAAGAGGGCTCCTGTACTTAGCAATTCCATTTGATAGCACCACTTGTGGTCCATTGGTGGTAAGCATCCTCAGTCATATGGCCATGCCTAGCTGCAAGGGTGGCTGGGAAATCCAGTCTTTATTGTGCCCAGGGAAACAAACAAAAAAGTTAAAGGCTGAACCATTAAGGAAGGAGAGGAGAATGGACACTGCCAGAAACCCAGCAGTTTCTGTCACACCTTCACCTTCTTTTTCTTTTCTATTTCCTGTTCTGCCACTGACAAACTATAGCTCTGGACAACATACTTTTTTGGCCTGTCACCAGTAACCAGAGAGAAGTGTACTGCAGTCTAATAAATATGTCAATCTTCTGGTTTCAGGAAGAACTGGAGCCCCACCCAGTCAGCCTCCTTCTCACTTTCCGGCTTAGTTCCCCCCTGGTGGTGGGGGCAGTACTTGAGAACAGATTTTGAAAACTCTTAGGTTAGATTACCATTGAAGTCCTTCCGGGAGTGACCTCTCTCTGCACTTAACCAGGCTGTGCCCTCACTTAGACTCCTCCCACTGAGTCCAAACAGATAAGGAACAAGGTGGAACAGGAGACCCAAAGCCGGCCATCAACTGAGCACTCACTTTGTGTCTGTCTGACGCTGTACCAAGTTTGGGATCATTTAGTGTCCACAGCTCATACTCTAAGACCTTTACATTGTTTTGTTACAAGGGCAGAGTGTGTATTAAACAGTTCAAGGTATCAAGTGCCATAACAGTGTGGTAATGGAAAGGATTGAATTGTGTCCCTGCCAAAACATATATTGATGTCCTATTCCCTGGAGACTGTAAATGTGACCTTATTTACAAATAGGGTCTCTCCAAATATTATCAAGTTACAATGAAGCCATTAGAGTGGACTGTAATTGAGGCCATTAGTGTGGCCCTAATCCAAAATGATTCTTCTTAAAAGAGTGGTGGTGGTGGGGTGATACTGACACTCTAGGAGAAAGCCATGAGGCCACAGAGGCAGAGATTGGAGTCATGCATCTACAAGCCAAGGAATTCCAAAGATTGTTAGCAACATCAGAAATGAAAAGAATGAAATGATCCAGAACAGTGCTCCCTTAGAGCCTTTGAGGGAGCATGACCCATTCATCTTTGAGCTTGTTTTAAGGGATCCAGTTTGTGGTATGTTCCTATAGCAGCTCTGGGAAACTAGTAGAGATAGGTCAGTTTGATGGGTCAACCTGGTTAGGCTATAACCCTCAGTTATTCAATCACACACTAATCTCTGTGTTGCTGTAAAGGTATCTGTGGATGTGATTAACATCTATAATCAGCTGACATTCAGTAAAGGAGATTATCAATCTGATGAAAGGCCTTAAGAGTAGAACTGAGGCTGCTCTGAAGAGTCAGGAATTCTGCTCTGGGATTGCAGCTTCAGCTGATGCCCAGGAATTCCAGCCAGTCCTTCCTAGTGCCCTGCACTGTGGGTTTCTGAGTGTAACTTCTTGTAATAAATCTCTTCTTGTATCTCCCCCTGGTTCTTTTTCTGCAGCAGAACCCTGACTAATACACAAACAGATGATGCAACCTTGAAATATATTTGCCTAAAAAGACTGTGGAATGTCCAAAGGCTTTGGGGTTGCAGGGTTCCAGGTGGGCAAGGGGATTTTAAGGTCATTTCAGCAAGTGTAAAGCTGAGATGGTGAAGCCTAGCCTTTCTCCTCCCCTAGTGCCTGGGGAGATACACGGCAGTTTATATTGATTATATTTTGCCTCAGGAGACAGCTAGGTGCTGTCACTCCTGTCTTGGCCCTATTAAATATTTCCAGCACCCTGGTGGCTCCCTCTTTCCCTCAAACCCTCCAAAAGAAACCTCTAGCCAAGCCTAGGGGACTTAACACCAACGGATGGCCTGGGGCGTGTGAGATCATATTACATGTGCATGTGTGTGTTCTTCTGAAGGGATAGTTTGTTCCTTTGATCAGTTTCTTGGAGGTGTCCCTGAAGTGGGGGATATGAGACACATCATCGACAAACAGGGTGTCAGGCAAGGGTTTGCAGTTCCAAGGATCTGTGAAGTAGTGCAGAGGGTGGGCCCCGGTCAGGAGACAGCCTCACTGCCCCTGTCTCCTCATCCCTAAACTCGAGCGGATCATCCTTCCGACCCTCTTAATTGGTCAGTGTAGAGATCAGCCCAGGGAAAGGCAGTGAGACCATCGCCCTTGCTGGGTGCACTTCGCCAGCAGTCCCGAAGGCTTACGAGTGCAGCGCCGAGCTAAGTGGCCCCCTAGGTTATCCTGCTAATGACGCAGCCCAGGGCGAGGTCCAAGCTGTCAGTCCCCCCCACCCCCTCACCCACGTGAGGACCCTCAGGTCGGGGTGCGAGCTTCCGCGATCGCAGACGGGAAGGGGGCGGGCGCAGGTGGGGCGGGTCGGGGGCGGGGCGGCGCGTGGTTCCGGGATCCGGGTCCGGCCTCCGCCGCTGTGGCCGCCGCGCCACGGGGCGCGCTGACCGCTGGCGGCAGCTGGCGGGCGCATGTTGGGGCTCGCGACGAGACGGCACTGCCCGAGGAGGCTGCGGCGCGGCCGAGGGGCGCTGCTGGCGCTGCTGGCCCTGCTCACGCTGGCAGGGCTGGGCGCGGTGCTGAAGACTCAGCGTGGGGCCGGGGCCGCTCGGCAGGAACCCCCGCGCGCTTCGCGCCCCGGACGCCTGGAGCCGGTGCTACAGCGGCCGCCGGTTCCCCCAGATGCGCTGGGAGCGCAGGGCGAGGCGGTGCGGCTGCAGCTGCAGGGCGAGGATCTTCTGCTGCAGGAAGAGAGCGTGCGGCTGCACCAGATCAACACCTACCTCAGCGACCGCATCTCGCTGCACCGCCGCCTGCCCGAGCGCTGGAACCCGCTGTGAGTTGGGTCAGGTCGCGGGCTCGCCACCTGCGAAGTGGCGGGGAAACGGGCACGCCCTGCTGAGTCTCTTCCTCGGAAGTGGGCAGAGCAGGGGCTTGGAAGGGGGGGGGGCGACAGAGAGACGGGAAAGTTTTTTTTTCTTGTTTTTAAATGCACCTAGGGAAGTCTCAGAAATGGACGAGTTTGTTACCAGGTGGGTCTCTTGGCTCGCTCTCCACTGAAAAGTTGTCACCCTGCCCTGAAAACGGCAGGGAGTCGAGGCCGAGCAAATGTAAGGCGAGACGCCCTGTGGGCGCCCCCTAACCTCACGCCGCCCACGGTGCAGCTCCCCTCTTCTGGGGTCCCTGTGTCCTCCCGAAGCTGGCGACCCTCCGGTAGAGCAGGCTCCTGCATCCACCTGGGTGTGCCCAAGCCACTGGGTGTACAAAAGGGATGGAGCCGGCTGCGAAGGTGAAAGTAATGGAAAGTTCAGGTCCCAGGCTGAAATGAAAGTCTCCTTCTCTCCCTGGGGCTGAATTGCCGGGCTTTGGGTGGAGGTTTGGAGAGGAGCGGTTGGTGGAAAGGGCTCCTTGGCCGCGGTCCAGGCCAACTCACTCCTGGGGGTGGCGCAGGCGTGGAACCAGTGTGGTCAGACGCCTGGTTCCTGTTGGAGCTGCTGGCTGGGTGGTTTTGCCCCTGTCTAGGTGAGGGCCAGGGACCAAGCTGGTAAGCAGGAAAAAGGCCAGGTGGTTGCTGCGGTTGTCCCTGGGCTGCCTGGCTTTTGTGCTTCACTTTGACTTGTTAGGGTTCTTCCAGTTAGCACTGGAAAAGACTTGAGGAAAAGAGGGCTCAGAAAGAGGCCTCTGTTGGAGCCAGGGGACGCAGCCTGCTGTGTGCATCAGGTACGTGGCACTCCCTTTGCCTTGCTTTACAGGGGTGGAAATAGGTGCAGAGGAGATAGGTGACTCACCTAGTTGGATGGTGGTGGAACTGGCCTCAGGGGACTGTGACACCACCCCCCCCCGTCCCCCGCCCCGGGCCCCCTTGGCGGTGTGTTGATCTCATGCAAAGTTTGGATGGCCTTGAACTTAATGTTCTCTGTTTTTCAGGGTATGCGCGTGCTTAGCCCCATACTGCTGCTGGAGGCATTTTTCAGTGTTTTTGAGTAAAACTTTGTTGGGATGGGTAACATTTCTTCCACTTCAGCCAAATGGCTTAGTTCGTCCTTAGCTCCTCAAAACCCCAAAGGTGCGCTCTGAGGCCCAGTCTAGGAGGAGCTTTCAGGTCAGACCAGGGTGCACACCCAGCCTCTGTGAGACACCATCCGGCTCTTTTGCTCCGGCTCAGTGATCTTGAGCAAATGATTTGAGCCTCTTTGAGCCTGTTTCCCATCTGCCAAACAGGAAACTCATAAAAGTCAATGTCCATAACTCCACATAAAAATGGGTAGAGGGCCGGGGATTTGGCTCGGTGGTGCCACCTTCCTGCCTTCCTCGCAAGCTCAAGGTCCCAAGTTCAATCCCCAGTACCAAAAAAAAAAGGTAGAAAGAACACAACCTAGGAGTTAATAACTCACTAGCACTGGGGAACACATTGTACTCATTCTTGGTGTTTTCTCCTTCCCTTGTCGCCACGAATATACTCAGGAGGTTGCTTTTTAGAGTCATACAGGGGCTGGTCATGAAAATTTTTTTTTCAGGATCCAACTTCCTTTATTGTCCAAGATTGTGAATATCTCTTTGAAACACTGTGGATGACCTGTGGGGCTTATAGTATTCTGTCTCCATGGTGATGCAGCTGCCCTGTGTCCTGTGGGGATTTTCGAATAGATCCTGCTGTTGCATTGACCCTGGGAAGTTAATTTAAACCCAGCATGATGGGTATGTGAATGCCCTGCCTCAAATTTCTGCAGCAAAGCCTGTTGTGTTATTCTTGCCCAGCATGAGAGAAAGATGGGGCCTCAGCTGGGCCAGGTTTTGAGGTGTAGTTCAGGTGTAGTTTCCGTGTGATCAGTAAGCCTTGCTTGTATGGAGTCTCACTTCTATTATATAGTAGTCCTCTCTTATCCTGGGGAGATAGGTTCTCAGATTCCCAGTGAATGCCTGAAACCTCAGATAGTACCAAACTCTTTTATCTGCTAAGCACTGTGATACCATGACAATCAGTCTAATAACTAAGATGGTTGGTTGCTAAGTGATTAACAAGTAGTGTATATAGTGTATCCACGTTGGGCAAAGGAGTGATTCGTGTCTCAGGCAGGATGACATTACAACATGCTACTCAGAAGGATGCACAATTTAAAACATAAATTGTTTATTTCTGGAATTCTCCATTTAATATTTTTGGACTGTGATTGATTGGGTAATTGAAGCCACAAAGAGCGGAGCCACAGATAAGAGGACTTATTTTCATTGCTACAGGGAGGAGGAGGAGGAGGACCCAACAAGAGTCTTGGTATTTAGCAGGAGAAACTAGAATGGCAGATAAAGAGTTCACAGTTCAGAGTTGGGGTCCCTCAGGAGTCTAATAAGCAGACGAGTATCAGGGTCCTTGAATGTCAGAGGAGGATGGGCCTTGAGGGAATATCCATTCAAACTAGAGGAAAAGCCACACCTCTGAGGTCGAAGCAGATCAGGGGCACAGCTGGCCTACAACCTAGATTCATTATTTGTTCCTTTTTCAGTTGGGGCAATCATTTATCTATTTATTTTAATTATAAAAGCAATACATATCTGCCCTAGAAATTTTAGCAGATACAGAGAATCAAAAAAGAAAAATTATCAATTAACTTACACATTTTGCTATGTATCCTTCTAAACTTTTCCAGGTATAGAAATAAGTTTTTAAAAATATACCTATCGGTGTGTGGGTGAGAAAAAACTCCAACATGAGTATGCCTGTAGGCCGGCACACGTTTTTAACAAAGGGCTTTGGACTGCAGTAAGTAAACCTGTTGAGAGGCAAGGTGTTGGGAATGACTTCCTAGTATTTGCAGGGCTTGGTGCTGTGTTTGTCCCTTGTCGGGGCCAGAGCAATAAAGAGACATTTTCTGTGAGACCCTGTGTAGATTTTAATAGTTTAGATGCACAGCACTGTAACTATTACAGTGCTCACTTGAGGAGAAGGAGAATACTAATGATGGGAGAACCTCAGATGGTAGTTTACTAAGTACAGGGTTTGCAACACTTTCACAAATAACTTCTCATTTGATCCTAGCAAGGAGGGGAATTTTAGTCCAAGGTGATAGCAAGCTAGTGTGTGATCCCAGCTACTTAGGTTTGCAGCCCTGAGGAACTTTTTAAAAAATGTTGACGTCAGGAACCCTCCCCAGAATAATGAAATCTGAATTTCTGTGGGTAGGGCCTAGGCTGAATGTGATATGCTACCATGGTTGAAAGCTGCTGACAAGGGCCTGTGGGTTTTTTTTTTTTTTTTTGGTGACAAGGACTCACGACCTTGCACTTACGAGGCAGGTGTGGTGCCACTGAGCTAAATCGCAGACCCTGACTCAGGAGAGTTAGGAGGGTGCTTTTAAGAATGTGAGAGAATATCAAAATGAGAGGAAGTAGGGCCGAATGATAGGTCAAGTGCAGCTGAAACTAGTGATGACATTGTCATTTGGGAGGTCTGTCACCAGCAACTGGTGGCTAATAATATCGTACCAAAATTTGATTAAAAAAATTAGTATTCATAGAATACAGGGGCCTTGAGAGGATCACTATAACTTCATTGTCATTTGCATTCTAACATGTGTAGCAGGAGATTAAGGTGGAGAGATGGTGCCCCCAGGTCTGTGTGTTTCCCCAGCCATGTCCAGGGGGTTGCTGGGGTTGTGATCGCCAGCCAGTCTCTGCTGCACACCGCTGTCTAGGTATGAATCCATATGCAGGTGTTTGTGTGGTTTTTTCTACATAGGTAATTTGACAAAACTGAGTGTGTCCTGCTGGAATTGCCCGGAGGAAGTTAGTTGGGATTCATTTTTACAGAGAAATAGCCTGCTTGTCTAGTCTCATAACAAAATTGTAAAACATCACTTGTAATGTGGACATTAGACTGAAGTTTCTTTGCTTCCCCAATAAGGTTGTAAACGGGTAGGGTATTTTATTAGCTCTTATTTGACCCATCTTGTGGTTATTAGAATGGCATTCTTTGAGTCACTATTTCAGATCTATAGAACCTGATGTCTCTAAATAACACGTTGCTCTATTTTGTGTTGTTACTAAAAAAAAAAAAAAAAAAAAATTACAGAACTGGGATGTACCTTACTGGTAGAGCACTTGTCTAGCATGTGTGAAGCTCTGGGTTCAATCCCCAGCACCACACAAAATAAACAAAATTCCAGACTGACAGTCTTTACTGCTAAGTAGATATGTATATCCATTTACATCTATTGTGCTTACTGATTTTTTTTTTATTCAATTGTGCCATCTTATTTCATGTTATATGTTTGTTATGCTCTTTTTATTTTGTCTTTCTTCTTATTTCCTGCTGCATTTTTGAGTTGACAGAGGCTTTACTCTTTTCATTCTATTTTTCTCTGTGCTAATTTAGCAGTTATATTATCTATTTTTTATCTTTTACTAGTAGAAGTCCTATGTTCACTTTAAAAATACTTATTTTCTATATTATGATTCTTTTGGTTGACAGTGACTACATACCTGTTGCCAACTGATTTAAGTATAAAGAGAAGATATTCTGGCATAGGAAAGTCTGGGATTAGAAGCAGGTTTAGTTATTCTGAGCCCTGGATCAGGGATGCAAGTGCTGCCCACTGGAAATGTTGATTAGTCAGGCTCAAGGTGCATGTCTTTGCAGAGGTCAGGATGTGTGTGTCTGTGTGTGTACATGTGTGTTTGTGTGTTCAGCCCTGTAGAAGCTGTATAGACTGAGAGTCAGGGAAGCATGGTTCCTAAAAGAGAAATCAAGGTATAGAATCACGAAGAGGAAGGGTTTGGGGCAGGTAAAACACACAAAGACACATTAGGATCTCCCTTACCTGTTCTAGAAAGGATTTAGGTTTTTGTTATTTTTCTAAAAGACATTTTTGTGATAACTGTAATATAAGGATAAAAGAGGATCAGGAGGCATTTCCTGAATCCATTCTTTTGAATCCATTTAATATGCAGGTTTGTATTATGCTACTGGAGATTATTGTGGTCCCTACCCAGTAGGACAGCATCCAGTAGCACCCAGGAGGTACTATGAAGGCTGAATGGACTGGTGCCTGTAAGATACTTAGCACACTGCCTATCATGTAGTGAGCACTTGATAAATGTGACTGTATCACCCGGTACAGTTGAAAAGTAACTTAGCCCCTGCCTTCACAAAGGCAATGTCCCAGAAGCTTAGTGACATGATGGCTTAATGTAACTTGGCATTACATTTATCTCTGAGCTGTCACTTCTCCCCAAGCCAAAGATGGAACCCTAAAGTGATGCATAGCTGTCTGTCCAGTAATCAAAGGGTGCAGAGCCTTTTCTCAATGAGCAGCTTTGTATCAGTCCAGGAAAAGACAATGTTTTTTCTGGAAGGAAAGTTAGACACATTTGGTAGGATATGTTGAGCTTCATAAAGGAGCATGCCTATAGGGGATATTTTAAAGAAAGACGGAAATTATCACAGGCCAAGGAAAAAGGAGAGAGCTGAATATTAAATTATGCTCAGTGAAGGCATTTGAAGAAAAATGACGCAGTTTTAAAATCATCTTTCTTGGTGATTATAAAAATTACACGTGTTCATTTTAGAACAATTTTAAAATGAAGAAAATAAGAATCAAAGATAATCCCACTTTTCAGAAATCACCACTGATAACTTTTGGCATAGTTCTTTCTATTGTTTATTGTTTATATGTGAGCTCATGCACACACATTGTTCATAGAATCAGCTATTTACAGATATGTACTCTGCTTTTGTGATGTAACATTACAGTGTGACTATTTTCTTTTATTAAATATTCTCTGAAAATGTTTTTGGCAAACACTAGAATTTCTTCACGTATTTGTTCTATACTTCATTTCTTTCTTGTTGGATGTTGATATCGTAGCTTTTTGCTATTGTAAATCATGTTATAGAGAATACATTTGTACAGAAAACCTACTTCAGGGTATCATATTATTTCCTTAGGCAAGATATTCTTAAATATAGTGATGTGAGATGAAAGAGGAACTTTTTAGAGCTCTGAATGGGCATTGGCAAATTGGCAACCAGTTTTCTTATGATTTAGGTGTCACAAAGAAAGAGCCCACTAAACATTCTGTGACAGTGTCTATGCCTTTGAGTTTTACAGAGCAGTGAAAACACACAATCTCCCAAACAGGAGAAGGGTTGACATGTGATTTCAACTCCATTTGTTCAAGCAGAGAAGAAATACATTTTAATCCAAAACAGTAGGGACATGATTCAGACTAAAAGGCTAGTTTTTTGCATTGAATAAACTTTGAAAACCTCAGTTCACCATCCTTCTTTTCACTTACTGCTTGAACCTGAGCATGTTTAAAGCTGTTTTAGCTATATCTCTTTAAAGGTTAAAAAAAAAAATCTTTATTTTTAGGTTTACACAACACCCTTTTTCATGTAAATGTGTTAGCTTTGTATTGTTTAACAAATATCTGAGATAAAATCAACTTATAAAAAGATTTATTTTGGCTCACAGTTTTGAAAGTGTTAGCCAGTGACCCAGTAGCCTGTTTCTTTGGGCCTGGTGGCTGCACAGCATGGTGGAAGTGAGTGACAGAGCAAACTGGTTACTTCTTGGCTGGGAACCAAAGAGAGGGGTATAGACTAGGGTCCCACAGCTTCCTTTGAGGATATGCTCCCAGTGGCCTCAGACTTCCCTCTGTGCCCCGACTCTTAATGATCCTGCTACCTTTCAGTAGCACCAGGCATAGTGCTACGATGGCCCTTAACACAGATCCAAACTAGAGCAGTAAGCAATTACTTCTTTCTGAGGTTCCTAGTGGGCTGCACCTCAGTATTGTACAGTTTCTCTATGCTTCCTGTCGGCTACCCAGGGGCTTAACAGTCCAGACACATTTGTTAATACTTTTATCCGTAGACATTTGATCTGTCACCCTGCTTGTTCAGAAGGCCTTGCTTTAGCTGTGCTGGTAGTTGGCTGGTCTTCAGTACTTAGCTCTTCCCTGAATAATTCTAGCTGATCCCCTGCCAGGCCCCAGTGTTCAAACTCTGGTTCTTTTGCTGTCCTTGTGATATCTTTCTCAGCTTGCTGTTAGCTACTTCCTGCTGATAATTTCCAGGCACAGCCCTTAGTCAATCTGGGAGTTTGTTTTCAGTCACTCTGAGGATAGAATTCTGTGTCAGTTAGGGAGGGAACCTTCAATGCATAGCTACAGTGAATGCTACTAAATAAAGAGGGAGCCTATTGGTTCCTGTAACTGCCAGTCAAGGCCCCTTGAAATTGGGTGGGCCTACCCTCACCTTATCACATAGCTGCCATGTCACAGAGTAGGGAGGACCTTCTACAGAACCCTTCCCAGATGTTTGTAGGTTCTAGCCACGATGCTAGTGTACACATTCAGCACATCACCTTTGTGCAAACAGTCACTGCTGGATGCTGGGGAAAGGCAGGGAGGGGCATGTACATGAGTAATGGGAATGCTATGAGGACACCTGCTGAGATAGAGGGCCTGCCTGCTAGAGGTGCACTGAGGGGCCAGCACCTGCCTAAGACGGGTCTGGGGGTTCCCAGGGGAGAGTTGGGCTGAGCATGTCCTGAAGGAGAACAGGGAGTTTGTCGAGTAGAGAAAGGAGCAGAGGGGATGCCAGGCAGAGGGAACAGTTGGAGGAAAGGCCGGGCAGTGGGACTGGAACAGATAGGTTGGGGGATAGTCTTCTTTCTGGTTCTCCCTAGTTCATGTATTGCTCAAATCTGCAAATTGCTTTCAGTTTAAAAATAATATCCCACAGAGCCGGGTGTGGTGGCACATGTCTGTAATCCCAGCCTTCAGAAGCCCGAGGCAGGAGGATCATCAGGAGTTTAAGGTCAACCTGGGCTACTTAGTGAGTTCAAGGCCAGCCTGACTACATATGGAAACACTGTCTCAAAAAACAAACAAAAAACACCAGTGTTCCATAGGCAAAGGTTGTTTGGGATCACATTGAGAACTTTCTTGGCATCTGGTGGGGTCCTTTGGGAGAGCCTCCAGCAGGTTATTTCCCATTCCCCAGGGAAGCCTGGAGGCCATGATTTATGACCTCTATCGATTCATCTCCAGCTCCAGCCTTGGCTAGGTTCTCAATTCCTGAAGTTGCCTTGTATTTATAGGTGCAAAGAGAAGAAATATGATTATGAAAATTTGCCCACAACATCTGTTATCATAGCATTTTATAATGAAGCCTGGTCAACTCTCCTTCGGACGGTGTACAGTGTTCTGGAGACATCCCCAGACATCCTGGTGGAAGAAGTTATACTGGTAGATGACTACAGTGACAAAGGTAAGCCTCCATAGAGGCTCTGAGCAGGGCCTGGCCTTCCATAGCAGTGCCAGGGAGTTGGGGAGAGTATGATAGAGGAGGCCCAGTAAATACGAGTTTTCTGCATCCTGTGTGCCTAATGGTGACCTCAGGGAGAGCAGTCCAGGCTCAGGAACAAGCCAGTGCAGAAGCTGAAATGAGCATGGGGAGGTGATACGGGTGGTGAGGCTCCAGGGAGGGCAGGGCCAGATTGGGTAGGGCCTTGGAGGGCACGTAAGGCCTTGAAGTGTGGGGAGCCATCACAGGCTTAAGGGGGACAGGAAAGTCCCAGTTAGTCTGAAAAGCTTTCTTGGCCTGCTATGTGGAGAGCAATCAGTGGCAGGGACAGTCTCGGGCAAGGATGGAAATGCGCATGGGGTGGGGTTCTGTGCACAGCAGGAATCTTGGGTTGTCTGGGACTAGTGATGTCCATGGGGTGACATCAGCCAGTGACAGCTGAAGCAAAGGTAGCTGAGCTTAAGTGAGGAGAAATGTCAAGGCTGTAGCAACAGGTGGAACTGTGGGCTTTGCTTTTAGAGCCTGTTTCAATCGACAAGCAGCTGTGCTTGCCAGGCAGGGGCTCAGAGGATGCCCTGCTTAGTCTGTCTGATTTAAGAGCTGGCACACCTGTGTTTTAATTGGCATGGGTGTTGGGCTGTTTTCACAGACACTCAAAATTACAGAGATTCACACAAGGTAGAAACAGCACTGTCATGTCACAAGTCTGGCGTGATGGTCAAGGATGGTGTTTGGGGTTGGTACCTGCCCCGACTCCTGTCTGCCCTGGGAGGTTGTGCTGACTCGGTTGGCCTCGCCAGGCTGGCTCCTCACCCTGGCCCCCACCTCGGCCAGCCAGTAGGGGATAAAGGGGAGGGGTTACCCTTTCTCTTTAAGGGCAGTACCTGGAAATCTCCCCTTGCCCGAATCTTATCGGGCAGAACACGGCTGCCTGGCCATACCTAGCTGTAAGGGAGGCTAGGAAAATGCAGCCTTTATCCTGGTAGCCCTGTGCTAAGCTAAAGATCAGGAGGAGAATGGGGGATTAGAGGACAAGTAGTTGTGTCCCCTGCAGTCAGCCTGGAGTTTGATACTGAGTGGATCCTCCTAGGCACTGAGCTCTGGGGTTACCGGGGGCTTGGCTTCACCATGATCCTGTTGTGGTACCTTGGGTGTCATTTGTCTTCTCTGAGCCTCAGTTTCTCATCTGTGACTGGATTTATCCAAGTTGATGTCAGAGTGTTGCAGTGAGGAATAAATAAAGACTAAACTTCAGGTAGCAGCCAGCAGACATGAAATTAATCCTCACAAAACCCATCATGAATGCGGGGAGACTGCTTATGTGTTCATAAGTGTTCACTGGTACTGCAGCTTTGCTTGCAAAATCATTGCCCTCATTCTTGCCATCAGCTTATTGCAGTTATATTTAGGATTTAAAAAGAAAACCAGTGCATTTTTAAGTGTCAAGGATAGAAAAGCATTTTCATAAACTGAAGCAACCAAGTATCATTTTGATGGTTGAGGACTTTGAGCCAAAGCCCACATTGGTGTGGGGAAGTTCTTTCCTTTCCCTTTGCCTGAGTGGGTTCCCGCCTGCCTCCCCTGACCCACTGAGGGTGTGGATAGATAGACCTCCAGTCCCAGACCCACCTGTGAAACTGAGAGACTTGGAGGCCAGCGCTCCCAGAGGACATACCCTCTCAACTCTCTGCCTGTTCTGCAAACTGGCAGGAACATACATTCCTGACAGATTTTGATTTCTTTTTTTTTAATAAGGATCAGAAATTGTGGGAGAAAGCCCTGAGGGCCATTATGAAGCTTGTGGGGGTCTGGAGCCATTCTTGGGGTTCAAATTAATGTCTCCTTAGCTTGCTTGCTCTGTGACCCTGGGCAAGTTACTTAGCCACTCTGGCCCAATGTCCATCTGTGGAGTGGGGATAATACTGGTACTTACCTCACAGGATCATTAAGGAGATCAGATGTGTAGTCTATAAGTTACTCAAAACTTATCACAACAGGCTACTGCTTCTACTATATAAACTAAAGTGCTCCTGAGAAAATTTCTACTAATTTAAGTACTGTTTTTATAAACGTTTTGTTAACCACATTTTCATCAGTATAATAAAATACCTGATACAGGCTACCTATGAGGAGGAGGTTTCTTTAGCTCACAGTTTTGAAAGTTCAAGGGCATGGCGAAGGAGGCATCAGTTCAGTTCTTGGCTTCAGCATACCATGTTGGATGTCAGTGGGGGAGTGGGAGGGGGGGGAGGCAGAGCAAGTGGTTACATCTCCATCCAGGAGAAGAGAGGAGAGATTGGGTCCCGCAACCCTCTCTGAGGGCATCTCTCAGTGACCCAAGACCTCCCATTAGGCCCCACCTCCCCAAGGTCCCACGCCCCTCCCACAGCACCCCCTGGGAGCCAAGTCTTTAATCACAGTGCACCCCTTGGGGATATAGACCATATTCAACCATAGCATTGTGGTTGGATGATTCCTATGTTTTTAATTTTCAGATGTTCACAAGTGAAGCTATAAAGTATTTTTTGGTACCAGCTTTATTATGATAGTTCAGGTACCACACCATTCACCTATTTAAAGCATACAATTCAAAATGCATGTGTTTTGTTAGGGAGCAAGTGGTTCTGAGTTCCTCTATCCCAGGTTGCCTGGGCTGTCACAGCACTTCCAGTGGTTCTGGGTGAGCTGAGGCCTCCCAGGTGGCAAACAAAGGAGGTACATATCTCTTTCATCTTCTGGGGACAGGGAGGCCCTGGAAGGACCCAACTTGGATGAGGTGCTCTGCAAGGAGCTGTCACGGTGACCCTCGCTGCTCTGCTTGTCCCCCAGAGCACCTGAAGGAGCGCCTGGCCGAGGAGCTGTCGGCTCTGCCCAAGGTGCGCCTGATCCGAGCCACCAAGAGGGAGGGCCTGGTGCGGGCCCGGCTGCTGGGGGCTTCTGTGGCCAGGGGTGACGTGCTGACCTTCCTGGACTGTCACTGTGAGTGCCACGAGGGTTGGCTGGAGCCACTGCTGCAGAGGTGCGTGAGCCGCCAGTGAGGGGAGGGCCTGGGGCTCCAGGGGCAGGTCTGCTGTGACGGTGCTGCTAAGTGATGGGACATGTGGGACATGCTTACAGTACAGCAGGCATAACAGTCTGTTTGCTTTTTAAAAATTTTCTTTATTAGTACGTTTGCGGTACCTAATGATTACATTTATCGTGGGAAGTTTGTGCATGTACATAACATCTTTATTCTTTTTCTATATCTGCTCCATCTAGCTCCTGTTCCCCTTCCCATTTGAGAAAGGTCTCTTTTCAGTTTTTTCTTCAATTCCCTTTTTTCTTATCCCGTTTCCCTTCCCTTTATCTCTTGTTTCTCCTTCACATTTAAAAAAGATGTCCCTACTTTCTATTATCTTTTATTTTACTCTTTATTTATATTTTGGGGGGTTTTTTTGAATAAGAGAAACCCTGCAATAATTAAGCTTGTGTGTCTGATTCATTTCACTTAACATTATGGTCTTGAAGTGCATCCATTCCCTTACAGATGCCTTAAGTTTATCCTTCTTTATGGCAGAGTACTACTTCATTGTGTATAAATACCACATTTTCTTTGTCCATTCATCTGTTGATGGGCATATAGGCTTTTTCCAAGATTTAGTTATTACAAATTGTGCTGCTATAAACATGGGTATGCATGTATAACTAATATGATGACTTAACTCTTTTGGGAAGATACCTAGAGGAATTTCTAGTTTTAGTTTTTTGAGGACTCTCTATACTGATCTGCACAGTGGTTGTGCTAGTTTACATTTCCACTAACAATGTAGAAGGGTTCCTTTCTCCCCATAGCCTTGCCAGCATTTGTTATTATTTGATGTCTTGATGCGAAAAAATGTTCAACATTACTGGTCATTACAGAAATGCTGTTTGCTTTTATTGTTACTTAGCCAGTTCATTGTAGAAGACTAGGACGTATCATCAACCAAACAATTTTTAAAAGCTGTCATCACTTTTCTCTTTCTTTCTTTCTTTCTTTCTTTCTTTCTTTCTTTCTTTCTTTTTTTTTGAGATAGGGTCTCACTCTGTATTTGAAGCTGACCTTGAACTGACTATATAGCCCAGGCTGGCCTTGAAATTACAGTGCTCTTCCTGCCTCTGTCTCCCACGTGCTGGGGTTACAGGTGTGTACCAACATACCCAGCCTTGTCTTCACACTTTTAGGGAATAGACATTTCCATGCATTTTTATCAGGCAGGGCTCACCTACCCATCACACCGGGGAAACACAATGCCTGTGACCTTAAAACTCAAAGAAATCCACAAAGTGTTTTTCTGCATGTTTGTGTGTGTGGTACTTGACCTGGCACCCAGATCATTGCATAAGCTAGGCAAGAGTTCTACCCCTGAGGATATCCCCAGCCCTACAAAAATGTTTTTATGTTAGTTTTTTTAAATCAGAAGGAAAAACATGATATAATGTTATTATCCAATATGATACGAATTTTTTTTATATTTTATTTTTCCCTTATTAATGTGATTTATTTATTTTTGTATTTAAAAAATTTTTCTGTTACTACTTGTTTGTAGTACGTATGGTTACATGCGCCATAGGGAGTAGGTACTGTATGTATACATAACATATCTTAACCCTATATATGAGTTTATAATAATGAATGCATTATGTTTGCATTATGTTTATCTTTATACCAATGTAATAATAAAATATACTTTAAAATATGTATATATATGGAGAAAGGGGCCTATGAAAGCCATTCTGTGGGAGGTCTGAAGAGAACCTTTTTCCTTTTGAACTGATGCACTAATGCTGCCTAGAATCCCACCTCAGTATACAGTATGCCCATCCCCTCCCAATGACCAAGACCTTGCTCTGTACCTGTGTATGAGGATTTCTCCACGCCGCCATCCATTGGAAATGCCTGGGGGGTTGTTAAATGTGTTAACACTTGTTCCTGCAGCATATTGTTTGGATCTGATGCTTAGGAGTGGGGCCTAGGCTTCTAGATGTTTCCAGAGCTCTCCTGGGGACTTTGGTGTGTACTGGTCGGGCTGTAGACTGTGCCTCGGGCAGTGTCAGGCGGGAACAAGGACTTCTTCCCTCCAGGAGCTTTTGGAAATCTGAGAAGGTGTTCTTAGCCAAGTAGTGCTGGTGGTAGTGAGTGCCAGGAATGCCAAGTGTCCTGCAGGGCAGTGCAAGTCAGCTCTGCATAACCAAGGAAGGTTCCACCTGGGCACCAGGAGTATCCCCAGAGGACACATATCCTCCACTCATGATTCAGAGTACTGTACACCAGGGCTGTACAGGCCTCCTCTTTTGTAAAAATTAGGCTGCCCATAGTTCCAACCAGCTTCATGGCAGGTTATGAGTTCCTGGGAACTTGGTCTTTGCCAGGGGCGAGGCAGTATCTTGGAATCAGCGCAAGAGGTCTGTGGTCAGCCTTCTCAGCCTTTTAACAATGTCCTCAATTTATTTAAAGAAGTGGGGGTTGGTGGATACCCCGTCTGCAGCTTCCTCAATTTGGTGACCTCGTAGGTTTGATTCTCTGCCTTATCCAACTTCTTCTGAACAGTACAATTTTCTCACACAAGTGTAGTATTTGTAATGCCCCCTCTGACTTTCTGGTGTTATTCTAGGCACTTATAGCTCAAGGCTGGTTGAACTCTATTTCATTGTTTTGTGCAGTGTGACCTTTAGGATTTTCAGGTTTCAGATATGACATAACCCCCCCCCCCCAAATAGCTCAGAGAAATCTAGTCTTTGCATGTGGTCCAGTCTCGATTCATCTTTCCCAGGATGATATCATGTGCGAAGAAACACAGTCTGGGGGCATGCCCAAGATTCCTGAGTTCATAATAATGTTTGCAGAGAAGATAATTGAAACATACTCAGACTGATAACTGCATTTGCAAGTTACGGCATTTTTTGCTGTGTGTACTGTCACAATACAAAAAATGAAAAGAATAGCAGTAGTTTCAGGTTCTCTGCCAGCCATCTTATAAACATTGCCCCCGGGGATCTTCATGTTAACACTATCAGTAGGAATTATCATTCCAGGGTCACCAATGAGACATTGGCTTCTAAAAGGTCAGGTGAGTTAGCTAATGTCACCCAGCAAATAAGGAGCAGGAGTAGAATTTGTAATCTAACTGCAAAGCTGACCCTTTGGTCTGGGTGCATCTCTTAGAGAGCTAAGTCTTTCTTGACATTAAGATGTTTCTTTGTGATTAATTCTCTTGCACTTCTGAGAAATTAAAAATCTGCTTTCTGATTTAAATGTCACCTTTGATTTATCCACGTCTTGACTTTCACAGAGAGTTTCAAATTTAGACAGAATGTCCATGGATAGAACCAGAATATCGAAGCTACGAGATTTTTCCTATTTTCCCATGCTGCTCCCTTTCCCTTCCCTCAGGGTCTGCCATGATGGTCACCTGCCACCTCTCACCCTCCCAACACACAGCTGGGGACTCTGGATAAGGGAAGCTGGCTTCTCACACAGGTCTTCCCTATTCCTGCTGGGAGGATGAGGAGAGTTCATTCTCCACTTTTCTGGTTGTCCTGGTACCCACCCCAGAGATGAGACAGGGTGTCTTGGGTGTATGCAGGATCCACGAGAAGGAGTCAGCAGTGGTGTGCCCCGTGATCGATGTCATCGACTGGAACACCTTCGAGTACTTGGGCAACTCTAGGGAGCCCCAGGTTGGCGGCTTCAATTGGCAGCTAGTGTTCACGTGGCACGTGGTTCCTGAGAGGGACAGGTTGCTGATGAAGTCCCCCATCGATGTCATCAGGTCAGGCTTTGCCCTTTGGGGAACTCTGTCTGAAGTGTGCCTCAGTGTGCCTGGCTAACGTGTCAATGAATGTCCCCCTCGGAAGAGATGTTAGCCATGGGCTTCCTTTCCCACCCCTTCTCTTTTCCCACAGTGCTTGTTTCTTTTTATTCAATATCTTTGTTATGCAAATACATTTTATATTGGTATACTTTAATTTATTTAATTTTTAAAAAGGGGTAAATATACATAACTTAAAATTTACCTTTTTCTCTGATGGTGCCGGGGATTGAAGCCAGGGCCTCAAACACACTAGGCTTGTTTCCCAGTCTTTGTTCTCTAGGATTCTAAAAGCCCGCCGGGGATTTAGCTTAGTGGTGCTGCCACCTGCCTCACAAGCGCAAGGTCCTGAGTTCAATTCCTGGTATCGAAAAAAAAAAGAAACTAAAAAACCCGTTTGCCAGGGATCTGGCTCAGTGGTTCCGCCACCTGTTCTGCAAGTGCAAGGACCCAAGTTCGATCCCCGGCACCCCCCCCCCCCAAAAGAGTGCTAAACGCCCAACCAGGCTGGGGGTGTAGCTCGGTGGCAGAGTATTTGCCTAGCATCCCTTGGGTTCAATCCCCAACACTGCATTAAAAAAGGAACAAATATATAAAAAAGCACAAGGGTTTCTCTAGCCCTTGGGTTTTTTTTCTTTTTGTGGTACTGAGGATTGTACCCAGGGCCTCACCCGGGCTAAGCAAGTGCTGTTCCACTGAAATACATCGCCAGACCCCTTTTAAATTTTATTTTGAGATGAGATCTCACTGAGTTGCTCAGGCTAGTCTGGAGCTCTCGATCCTCCTGGCTCAGCCTCCCGATAGCAGGGGTTACAGGTGTGTGCCATGGCACCTGGCCCACCCTGGGCCTTTGTTCCTGCTGGTGTGCCTTTCTTTCCTCTTTTTGGCCAGCTTCCTTCATCCTGCACGCGGATCTCACCTTCTCCAGGAAACTCAGCCCTACCCCCCTGCCCCTGGCCTCTTCTGGCCCTGGCTGGCCTTAGCTAACGTGTGTGTCTCACACAGAGGGCTTGGCTGTGGAGCTGCCTGTGAGCTTCCTCAAGCCAGGAGCATGGGAAACATCTGTTCCTCGGGCCCCTGGGACAGAGTGGGAACTCAGGGTATGCTTAGGGCTGGATGGATGGAAAGGGCTGGGATGGGGGTGTGGCTCACCAGCAGCGACGCTTCCCTGCGGCCCATGCTCAAATGTGGACATATCTCCTTTCTAGGTCTCCAACGATGGCTGGTGGGCTATTTGCTGTGAGTAAGAAATATTTTGAATATCTGGGGTCTTATGACACAGGAATGGAAGTTTGGGGAGGAGAAAACCTCGAATTCTCCTTTAGGGTAAGTATTCCTAGTCTTCTCTTTGGATTCATTCTTAACCTGTTTTCTCCCTCCTTTTCCTCCCTCTTTCCCTCCCCTCCTCTCCCTTCCCTGTCCCCTCTCGTGGGGGGCCTGATAGACTTTTCTTCCATACTGGCAGTTTATTTAGTAATTCTGACAATGATAGTAACATGTATATCCTGTTTACCAGTTTTTCTTCGTATTAAAAATGTGTGTTTAACAGCTTGGAGCTGGAAAGGGTCTTGCCAGTCAACTAGTTCTTTCTCACTCTACAGGAAGGAGGAACTGAGGCTGGGAGAGGGACAATGACTTTTTTCATGGTCATTCAGTGGCAGAGACTGGGCTAAATCACAGGTCCCTGCCTCCTGGCTCCAGGAGCCTTTATTTGACCAACAGCTTATAAAGTAGGCTCTTTGTTTTAACACAGTGGTTTTCAAACTTGGACACATATGAGACTTGCTGGGGAAATGTGCTTCGAAGGCAGATTCACAGGCATAGTCTAGAAAGTCAGATCAGAAAGACTTGTGATGAGGCCAGGAATGTGCCTTTTGTAACTAACACTGTTACTGATTCTGCTGAACGTGGCCCATGGAAACCCCTCTGAAAACTCTCTAGCATTTCAGTGGATTTTCTGGTCAATGGAATCTTACATTTTTTAGTATCAAAACTTAAGATATTTAATAATATTGTATCTGGTGTTCTCCCCTCACGAAAAGAGTTAATGAAGAACTTGACCTTCCACTGCAGACTCACACCCTCTGTTATGAGCACCAGATGCTGTGCTTGTTTGTAGTGTGCTTGGGAAAAAGAGAAGTTCACAGCTCCAACTGACCACCTGTTGAGTCTCGGGTGTGCTTTTAATGGTCTTTCTGCCTGTTCCCTAGGTGTCAGTCTGCCCTGCCTCTTCTAGAAGCTCTCCCTCTTTCCCTTCCAAACCTCTCTTCTTCCTCGCTGTTTTCCTATCTTCTGTGGCTAGGTGATCAGGTAACCAAGCCTTGTTTTGCTTAATGAGTGGGTTGCCAGCAAGGTCTCTGAGCCCTTCAGTGAGTCATGTGCATGAGCTGCTATGCCTGGACTTCTGGGTCTTGGTTTGTTTGGGGCTGCTTTCTTGCTCTGTGCCTGCATTCTGTGTCATCTGCATGCTGAGGAAGTAGCCTGCCCCATGGAGGCTGAGCTACGTGGCTGTGTCCACCATACCATCTGTGTGCCTCTTTGCCTGGGGATTGACAGCTCATTCCCTGCTCACTTCTTCAGCCTCTCTTCTGCTCTGTGTGCAGATCTGGCAGTGTGGCGGAACTTTGGAAACACACCCGTGCTCCCATGTTGGTCATGTTTTCCCCAAGCAAGCTCCCTACTCCCGCAGCAAGGCCCTGGCCAACAGCGTTCGAGCAGCTGAAGTGTGGATGGATGAGTTCAAAGAGCTCTACTACCACCGCACCCCCCGAGCACGCCTGGTGAGTCCCGCTGCCACCCCGCCTAGCCTCATCTGAACAAAGCGACTGACTCTGCCTTCCTTGACCTGAAAGATCTCGTTTCAGAGACAGGTGACCAATCAGGCCCTCATAGTATGGGAAGAGTTTATTCCTCTATTTATAATAGTAACACAAACACCATCAGTTCTTATTCACAGTAGCCATGTTCTATAAAGTCATCCCAAATACTGAATTGGTGAAAGAGGAATCTGCCTTTCCTTTGCTTCCCCTGTCATGCCAAGTGCTGCAGAGCAAAACATCTGCTCTTCACTGCCACCCAGTCTGAGACCCATGGTTCCTGTTCCTGAGGCTTCCCAAAAACTCATTAGAGGGGTGTTGAGTATACCTTTAGGCCTGGGTGTTAAAATGGAATTTTTGTGTAAGCTGGGGATGTGGTAACTCTCATCAAAGAAAAAACTTGGAAATAGAAATCTGAAATTGTATTAAATACTTATTTATTATTACCACTTTGTTAAATATCTCACTTGTCGATTTTTAGTCATTTAACATCATGATGCAGGGACAGTCATGTTTCAGCCTTCAGTGCTATTCTTGAGGGTGAACATTGGCCATACTAAGTAGCAGCTTATTTTATTTAAATATTTGAAAGCTCCCATTGGTTTTGCCCATGAACCCAAACTTCCACAAGCATTTCCTGCTGCAGCATTTTGCTCTTAACCACCCTACATATGTGGTAAGTGAAGATATAGATTGGAATATATCAAGCACATAAGGTTTTCACTCATGATTACATCTAGGATTTTCAGATATTAACAGTAAGCCGTGCTGAGACTGGTGGCTTTCTGGTTGGTTCTGCAGATGACATCAGGTTCACAGGCTCTGCAGTGAGAGTTCTGGCTCCAGGGTTTGGCTCCTTGGCTCCGTCAGCAAGTGTGTTTTTGCCTATCCTCATACACCTGTCATCCCCTCCCCGTAGTGAGATCAGCTGCAAATTGAATTGTGTGCTCGACAGCCTCTCCTAGGAGGAGCCTGGACTGGCTTGAGGCTGTTCTCATCCTCTGTGCACAGCGCCTAACATAGGACAGACAGCTGGCAGGGCAGTGGGTTGTTAGTAAGCACACATCAGCGAAGTGAGGGGCTTCAGTGGGAAGCACTGGGCTCTGCAGAGACGCACTGACTTGTCTCCTCAGGAGCCCTATGGGGATGTGACCGAGAGGAGGCAGCTCCGGGCCAAGCTGCACTGTAAGGACTTCCGGTGGTTCCTGGAGACTGTGTATCCAGAACTGCACGTACCAGAGGACAGACCTGGCTTCTTCGGGATGGTGAGCAAGGCAGGCCATGATGTGCAGAGTGTTCCCTGGATCTTGAGCCAAAAAAGCCCCGTGGTAGGGACCACAGTCCTAGTCCACTCCCATGTCCCTTTCACCTTTTCACCTGCTGTCCTTCGCTCTCCCCATTGGTCTCCTTAAGGTTCAGAGTATCAGCTGGAAGCCATCTGGAAATGGGTAGGTATAAGCCTCCTATTTTCTAGATGAGGAAACTGAGGTCTCCTTGGCATTTCCACATCCTGGTGTTTACTAATACCTTATTACATTACTTTTAGTCTCCATGGCCTGACAACTTAGGAATTTTCAATTTAGGAGTCCACAAGGGCATTAGGAGGGTAGGAGAGTCACTTCTAGTCTTTAACAAAACCTAAAGTAATGTTTCTGGATGAGGTCAACAAAGATGTCCAGTGTTTATAGATTTTGCTAGAAATTACGCCATCGTAGTGAGATCTCTTCCAATCTTCTGATGCTGGTGTGCCATTCTGGAAGCCTTGGATAGGTACAAAGCAGAATCTCCATGTTAAATTCTATTTTCTTCATGAAAATGCTCAAGCATTCAGAATCACAAAGAGAATGGTGTAATGAATCTCACTCCAGTGATTCCACAATATCCACGTTTCTGCCACTCTTGCTTTCCCTCCTTCCCGTTCCATCCTCCACATTTCCCTCTTTTTAAGCAAATCCCAGCGATTGTGTCACTTCACTCCTGTGTGCTTCAGTATGAATCCTTATAAAATTTGGACATTGTCTTACAAATCCACAGACCATTATCACTCCTACTCAAATGAACACTCATTTCTTGGTATCATTTAGTCTCCAGTTCTAGTTCATAGTCCCCCAATTCTTCAGATCTTTTGTTGGGATTGACCGATTCCACATTTTGTTTGGCTTTTGTCTTGTTTCCTAAGTCTCTTGCAATCTTAATTTTTCTTTTTTTTCTTTTGTTAATACTTTCAACTTTTTGAAAAAGCAGGATCTGTTGTCTGTGGAATGTCTCAATCTCAGAATTGCTCCTTGTTCCTGTATACTGTCTTTAAGTTGTACCTCTCTCTGGTATTTCTTTACAGTGGGAGAGGGGTCGAAAGGTTTGGTTAGAGTAGGGGTCAACCTTTTTGGCAAGAACATTTGTGGATGGTGCCTTGTATTCTTGTTGTGCCTTATCAGGAGCTCGTAAGTTCTGGTCATTTTGCTCTTAGTGGTAAAATAAAGAGTGTTCGTGTTGTAACCATGATGATTCACAGGCAGCTCTGCATCAGCCTTCTATCTCATGGCTTTGCTAGTCATTGGTAACCATTGCTTGGATCCAGTTTTTCACATGGAGTTACCAAATGGTGATTGTGTCAATTTCTCCTATATCTCCTATATTAGTGGAATGTTTCTGTAAAGAAAAACGTTCTCTAAGAAAACTGGTATCCATGAAGTTTAGAATTCATACAACAGAGGCATGTCACATTCTTAAGTCCTTTTTTTTTTTCCCGGTACCAGGGATCAAACTCAGGACCTTGCACTTTCAAGGCAGGCGCTGTGCTACTGAGCTAAACCCCCAGCCCTGAGTCCTTCTTTTCATTTACCTATTTTTTGAATAAGAATCATTGCCTTGGTGTCCAGTTGTATCCAGTGGGCTGCTTTTCTGTTTGTTGATGCTTTTGTTTTTGTGGGTCTTTCTTTTCTTGGCTCTGATCGTAAACTAATGGGGATTTGCTGGGATATGAATGCATCTCCCCCTGAATCCTGTGTAGGAAGCAATCCCAGAGCAACATTCTTTGAGAGGTGTTTGCGTGTTAGGGGCTCTGCCCTCCCGAATGGATTAACACTTTTATCTATAATAGTGCTTGTGGCCAGGTTTTCTCTCTTGCATCCTCTGCCTTCTGCTATGTGAGGTCTCAGTAAAGAGGCCCTCACGGGGGCAAATGTGAGAAAATAAATTTCTGTTCTTTATTTTATTTCTTTATTTGTAGTACTAGGGATTGAATCCAGGGCCTTCACACTGAGCTATATCCCCAACGTCTTTTTTAAAATATGGAACACTTCACGAATTTGCATTTCATCCTTGCACATGGACCATGATAGCCTTCTCTGTATGGTTCCAATTTTAGTATATGCTGCCAAAGCGAGCACACCTTTTTATTTATTTATTTATTTATTTATTTATTTATTTATTTATTTGTTTTTGAAACAGAGTCTAAGTCATGAAATTTCTGAGTCTGGGCTCAGACTTGCAATTCTCCTGCCTCAGCCTCCCAGAGTACTGGAACTACCGATGTGTACTACCACAACCACCTTACGTTTCTGTTTTTTATAAGTTACCCAGTCTGTGGTGTTCTGTTGTAGCAGCACAGAAAAAGACTGTGTTTACGTGGCCACTGTATTTCAATCCTTAGTTTGTCTTTAAAAAATATTCAAATTGCCCCATCTTTGGCTGGTGGCATTCTCTTTGTTCTGGTTTAAATCTGACCAAGTCCCATGCTTCTTTAATATTCCTTCCGCTCTTCCCAAAGCACTGTGCTTTTGGTATTCTGAGTCCCCCATGTTACTGCTGGCAGTGCCGATTGCTGAGGGTGCTCATTGCCTCTCGACCACGATGTCCCACAGAAGCATAGTGTCAGCCACCTGTCATTTAAAATTTTGTAGTCACCATGTTAAAGAAGCAAGTAAAGTTTACAATACATTGAACCCAGTATATCCCAAATATTGTCATTTCAACATATAGCTAATATAAAAATCTGTTAAGATATTTAATATTCTTTTTTACATTAAATCTTGATATCTGGCATATATCTCATACTTACATCACATCTTAGTTTGAATTAGTCATATTTCAGGTATCCACTAACCACATGTGGCCAGTAGCTACCACGCAGAATAACACTTTTGCAGTGGGCACAGAAAGGACCTACATACCTTTGAGAAACAAATCATGTGCTTATATTGACATCTCAGATTCACATGTGATCTTATTAAATCTTTTCTATTTGGATGTTCTACTTCTTTTTCTTACACTGAAAATTCTGGTGTCTAACACAATAATATTAACATAATTACTTGCTTTATCCTAAAATATTCTTTAAATAGTTTCAAAACACTGTGATACTGCAGTAGTCAGTGTTATATTGAATGAAATTTAAGATTTCTTTGCCGCTCTTTTTATTAAGTATATTTCACTAAGGAAGTGTTGTTAAACATACTATGTTCTAAAGTCAAGGGCCGGGGCTTTAGCTCAGTGGTTTCGCCGCCTGTTGCGCAAGCACAAGGACCCGAGTTCAATCCCCGGTACCAAAAAATAAAAAAAATAAAAAATAAAAAATAAAGTCATTTAGAAAATCCCAGGCTGAAGATAACACATTTGCTGTCCTTGCATGCACAAGGCCCTGCGGTCCATCCCAGGCACCACAAAAAACCATTTTCTCCATATCCATAACCAGCTCAATTTGGTTAGCTTACTCACCCTCAGTTCGAGGCTATAACCTAGGTATATCTAGAGCAGTGCAGCACTAAAGTTGCCACTGAGAAAGAGATAGGAGCTTTCAGGGAAGAAAAAAATTAATCTCTGATCCACAGGTTTATCATAGTAAAATGGGGTAAAATTTTCTGCTGACAGGTCTAACAGGGAAAGCACTGGGATGAGTAGCAGGTGCAGGCGCGCAGGTCGAAGGGCTCTTCTTGAGGAGTCTACCTCCAGATGTAGGCTTTCTTCTCGATCCATTTACCTCCCTCCCAGCCTGGCATGGATTCTTTTGGTGTGTATCAGGCTGGACCAAAATGCCATCTTTGTGTTCTGTTTAGCTCCAGAACAAAGGACTAAAGGAATACTGCTTTGACTATAACCCTCCCAATGAAAACCAGGTTGAGGGACACCAGGTCATTCTGTATGCCTGCCATGGGATGGGCCAGAACCAGGTGAGTGTGGGGCTTGAGGGAGAGAAATGAAGGCACAGCTATGTGTTTTTTTTTAAAAGTAAATATTTGATTTTGGGGGGCTGGACATGTAGCTCAGTGGTAGGGTTCTTGCCCAGCATGTATGAGACCCTGGGTTCTATCTTTAGCACCATAAAAATTTTTTAAAATGTTTCATTATAGAAGTTATATGTGCTCATTTCAGAACATTTGGGAAATATAAAAAGTAGAACCAAGGGGGCAGGACCCACAGAGACCACCATTAAAATTAAAACATTTTTTTCTATCTTTGTTTACATACACAGGGTTTAGATTATGTGATTTAGACAGTTCTTGCCATAATGTCTACCTGTCTACCTGTCTGTCTGTCTGTTTATTGTGGAACTAGGAGTTGAACCCAGGGCCTTCTCATATTGCTAAGTCACCAAGTTATCCAGGCTAGGCTCAAACTTGTGATCGTCCTGCCTTAGCTTCCGAGTGCTGGGATTACAGGCCTGTGCTACCACACCTGGCATGTTCTATTTTGTATTCCATTAACTTTACCATATTTATGTTAGTAGATGTGCTTTGGGAATACCATTCCCAGTGGCCTCTTAATATTTGATTGTATGACGAGTTAACTGCTTGTCTGCCTCCCTGTTTTTGTAACTATAGATAACTGCCATGAACATCTTCCATTAGAAAGAAGGGAAAAGAAAATCTCAGATCTGCATTTTGGATGACTTGCTTAGAATTCATTCTGAAATGGAATGATAGATTTAGATGTATAGAGTCACACTGCAGAATGGTGTTAGGGGAAACTGGCTTAGCTGGGGACCCAGGTGGATCTTTCTGGATCAGTGCTGCATGTCAGGCTGGTCAGGAGAAGCTTGGGGCTGAGGGGTCTGAGGACTAGAACACAAACCCCAGCCAGGAGAGCAGGTGGACCTCTAGCAGTGTGGGGCCTGTGGAGGACGCAGGGGATGAGACAAGGGTGGCTCTGGACTGTCAGTGTGTACTGAGCTGTCTGGTTCTCCAGGGAAGGAGATTCAGCAGTTTTCTTCCAATCCAGATTCACCCCATTTCTATTTGACCACATGGCTCCTTATGGTCTATAGTAAACTTTGATAATTTGGACCTTTGCAGTGCTAGTTAAATTACTTAGGGTTCTTGAACACTTTCAAGACCAGGATTCCTCAAAGCTGATGGTGTCTGTCTGGTGACTAACATGAGTTGGCTGCTCTGTTCCTAGTTTTTTGAATACACATCCCAGAAGGAAATCCGCTATAACACCCACCAGCCCGAGACCTGTGTAGCCGTGGAAGCAGGAACAGACGTTCTCATCATGCATCTGTGTGAAGACACTGCCCCGGCGGATCAGAAGTTCCTCCTGCAAGAGGTCAGTGAGTGCTCAGCCTTCCCTGCCCAGTCCAGGGGCAGTCGGGAGCATGGAAGCCAGGTGCTCTTTCCCATGTAGTCCCAATGGGTCTCGGGCATGGGGATTCTGGGAGACAAGAACTCTACTATAGTTACCCCAGGTGTTGCCACAGTGTCTGAGTCCATGGCATTGGGTGTCAGGAGCACTTCCTTCCTCCCTTCGAGTCTTTTCTGGTGCATTCTGCTGTAACAGGAACTGGAGCTCTCACAAATGCATTTGAAGATGAAATGGGGTTTAAATGAACACACAAGTGGCCAAAGCATAAGTACACAAGGCTAGATCCAGGTAGAAGTTAGTGCATTTCTTAAGCCTCATTTTTCCCAGCTCGAAAATAGTTGCAAGAATAGCAGCCTGGTCTTTCTCTAGTGAGGATTTCATGTGTACCCAGAAACATTCCTTGGAAGCTGTGGAGCTGTCTAGAGGCTCTTTGTGACTTGTGCTGTTATAACTAAGAAGGCAGCTCCAGGATGGAGCTGGCTCTACAGATACTCATTGTTGATACTCATTGGAACTGGGTGTATTTCAGGCCTGAAAGGTCCAGCCCCACTGCATTTGGAGCCAGCCTGTGATAGGACTTCAAAAATCACTTGAGGAAATAAATCCAAAGAAAATAATTTAATAGAAAAAATTAGTTATCTTTCATCTCCTGGAAAGCTGTCATTCTCAACTGGGCCTCAGGGATGTGTTTTTCAGTATTTCTCATAAAGGGGTTAATTCTCAGTATGATTAAAAGTTGGAAGATGTTTTTCTGTAGAAAAAGGCTATTTAGCAACGGAATTTGCAATCTGCCCAGAACAGCAGAGCACCATAGTGCTCCTGTCCGTTTGATACAAGAAAACAAGAAGGAAGAATAAGGTCTGTGATCCTCTTTAATGTCCTTCCTCAGTATCACTAAAACTTTTATCTGAAATTTCACTGACTGTTTAAGGAAAAGTGAGTTTGTTTAGAACAGTGAGCAGAAGGAGACATATTTATTTACTTTTAAGTTTCTCTAAACAGCAACTTAGAGCACTTGGAAGGGTTTCCAGGTGATAGTATTTGGGATTCTGTTGCTTCTGCTTTTCCTCCAGGGCATCTCCCCCTGGGGTAGCTGCGCTATTCAGTCTGCCTAGTTTGCTGCTTAGCCGTGATAGAGTTCATCATGGGCACGTGTAGCCGTGACACCAGAGAGAGGTGACAGGACAAGATAAACCCTAGGCTGGGAGAGAACTGGCCAAGCTAGCTCAGCCCTACTGGGCTGAGACAAGGGCAGGAAAGGTTGTTACATAAGAGCTTGTCCTCTAGGGAGTGGGAGTTGGGACCAGCACAGAGCCCACTGCCTCTGACTCAGACAGGTATCGGGAGGAACTCAGGTCAAGTAGCTGGAAGACTCCAAAGCTGGAACGATGGCCATTTTCTGACTCTGTTTAAATGCATAAGAGAAAACCATCAGTAGGGTTGGAATTAGTCAACCTAGGAGAAGTGAAAGGGATTTTTTTTTTTAAAAAAGGAAAAGATCTTTGCTCTGATTTTCTTAAAGGAAATACAAGTTAGGAATGAGATGTGGGGTCTGGCAGTTCCCCAGCGCAGCCAGCAGGTGGCGCCGTCGCCCCCTCGTGGAGCAGGCGATGCAGTCCACGTTTGAAGTTCTCCGCTAGGGCGGTTCTGAGTTGACATTTTACACATAAGACAGTTGCCGCACAATAAATATTTTTGAAACCATGTCATGAGCTTTCTAGAACCTGTTTTTAAAGGTAAAGAGACTTTTCTAAGGAGTCACTTGTAATTGTCTTGAACATCCAGTGTCTGTTTATCATTTGTAGGATGGTTCTTTATTTCATGAACAGTCCAAGAAATGTGTCCAGGCTGTGAGGAAGGAGGTCAGCAACAGTTTCGTCCCGCTTTTACGAGACTGCACCAGCTCGGATCATCAGAAATGGTTCTTCCAGGAACGCATGCCATAGACGCTGGGCTCCCATGGAGAGGCCTAGCAAACACAGGGACCAGAGCCCTCCACAGACTTGGCAGCTCCACTTCTGTAAGGAAACCATTTTACCTTTTGTATCTTGTTGAATTTTGTAAGAAAAATGTGAATGAACTTTGTACTGATTTTGAAAACTTTAAAAATGTTCCAAAATACCTTATTTTCTGAGGGTAACCATAAGATTTTAACTCTTAATATTTGGAAAATTGAAACCTTATAATATTTTTGTACTAAGATGTATATTTTACAGCTGTAGCTTTTATTCTTGCCATTAAACATGGTAAATATTCCCTTTTGGTACTTACAAGGGTTCCCAGGTACGAAGATACTTGCAGTATATTTTGCACAAACTGCTAATACCGCAAATATTGGGCTGGAGTTTTCTCAGTGTGGCATGACAGACGCTAGGAACATTACATTCATTCCTTCAGGCTGTTAAAATTTATTTAATGAAGAATCCATCTTTTTAGCTGGGTGGAGTGACGCATGCCTGTACTCCCAACACTGTGGGTACAGAGGCAAGAGGTGAGTTTGAGGCCAGCCTGGAACGTAGTGAAATCTTGTCTCAAAAAAACAAAAAGAAGATGCAGAACGCATCTGGTTATGTGTTGGTGTTACTGTCATAGTCAAACTTATTATTCACATAAGCCTGAGAGTGGACTTCTAACAATACCTAGCAGGAGGGTGGCTGGTTGCTTTTCGTAATTACCATCATAACTTTCAAACATGTTCCTATCATTTTTACCATGTGGTAGTGTCAGGGAGAAATTTAATTTTCTATGTGAAATTCATTTTTCAAATTTGTTCATTAATATTTGGTTATTTAATTCTTCAATGTTGGATTTTGTGCTGCAGCACCTGGTACAGAAGTTTCTCTCAGTAATTCTGATTTCAGAATGATCTCAAATCAACTCAGATCTTGTCAACTGGATAAAGTTAACATGAATGATTAAAAAAGAATCAATGAGCACATGGTCTGCAGATCTTTGCTTTTGAACCCATTGGTTGTGAGAGAATGAAGATACATGTGTAATTGATTAAAAAGCGTCATCTCTTGTCTCAGACTGTTTTCCATACATTCTCCTCTCTGAAAGATCCCAGCAGGGGTCAGGTTAGCAATTACCCCCCCCCCCCCAAATCTCCAACTGGCCTGGCGTGGTCCACCTTATGTATCTTAGCTACTCTGTACCTCAGTCTTATCTGTAAAATGGGGATTATAAAACCAAGCAAGGGGTAGTTGAGTGGATTAAATAACGTCATCTAGGCTGAGCTTAGTCCCTGCCACAGGGTGAGCTCATTCAGTATTTGACTGTATTTTCATAAATGCCTGGTGTAAAATGTGAACCACAGTAAACATCAGTATGTGATTACTGAGAAATAAATACAGAAGAGCTTTATGGTATTCTCAGCTCTTCAGCAGACAGTAGCATGGGGCAGTGTGCAGTCCCTCACCGACTCTTCTCTGCCCTATATAAGGCGGGGTGGGCCAAGTCCTCCCCTCATCCACTCCCTTTGTGATGACTGGGCCTGGACAGAGTTAAGCAGAGCTGCCTGCCTCCTGTGCTTTCTGCAGTATCCAGATGAGCTTGATGAAGGGGACAGCCACCCCACCCCTACCCCGCCAGAGGCAAGAAGGTGCCACAGGCAGATTTGAAGTTGACACTCAAAGCCTGTGCAGAGTTGGGGGACAGTAGATGTAGACATCTTCACATGCGTCACCAGCAACACAGCTATTTGTAAAATCACCTTTTGCTCTTGCCATCAGCTATATGCAGCAAGTTTTAGGGTTGGAAAAAAAAATCAGTAAAACAAAATTATATTTTTAAACATATCGTGGTAAATGTTTTACAGACTCGGAAGCAGTTGATAATGTTTTGAGAAGCCCTTCCCTCTATTGATGGGTAAAGAGTCTGAGAAAAGCCCACAGGGATGTGAGGAAATTCTCTCATCACTTCTTTTGCATGAGTAGGTTCTTACCTGCCTCCACCTAGCCCAGGAAGGTGTGAAGGCAGTCCTGGTGCCTGGGTTGAGTGTATGTGTGTGTGTTGGTGTGCGAGAGAGTGAGAGTCCTTGCTGTGGCAGATGGTTCAGCTTCTAGAATTCCATTGTATTTACCTTTGGTTTGGTCCTGAAATCTCAAGAGCATGATTATAAACTATTCCTGTCCTGTTGGAGCCCCAAGAGATGTGGTTGTGGATTTTACAGTTTGCCTTTCATGGTAATTTCTTTATCCCAGTGAATGACCTGATGCCTAAGTGTCCCACCCATGACCAGATGTCCCTCTCACAGGAAACTTGTTTATATTGGCAGTTACCTTTGTGGCTCTTCTCTGAACTGTGTTCAGTTCATTCCACCAAGATGGCCGCTCTAGGGGAGCCCTGGCCAGAAGGAGAGTGGGGCCCAGGTGTACCGACCAGGTGTGACACAGGAGAGGCAGCACAGTAAAACACATGGATCACAGATCCCAGACAGAAGAGGGCAGCAGTCCTGGCAGGAACAACAAGAAGAGGACAGATGAAAAGAACATGGCTGCCGGTGAGGAACAGGAGAAGGGGCACTTGTGGCCAAAGCCTTTGCTGGGTGGGATCCAGGTTGCTTGCAGAGTTCTAACTGGTGAGTGTAGAGCAAGCAGGCACAAGTTCTGTGGAGTCACACTGTGACAGGTGGTCAGGTCACTGGCATATCTGCCCAGTCCGTGACAAGTGTGGGGATCAGCCTCCGTGTTCCACAGGAAAGTGGTCACCAGGAGGCAGGTGGTGATAAAGCAGATTGGAGAATGGGGGTGGGGGCATTAGAGAACTGGGAATCATGTCAAGAGTGAGGGAGCCCTGCTTCTGGTATGAGAAAGCCAGATGTATATTCACAATATCAAAGCAACGTATAGCATAAATTATAAGATGCTTATTATAAAATATAAGAATTTACCACAGACTCATTGCCTCATCTGCGTAAGAGGCACGAGTATATACTCTGTTCATTTCTTAGCATATTTTCTAGCTACATGTTTAGCAACTGCCTTAAGAATTACAATATGCTCCCTAACTTTATCCTAAGTTTGTCAGCTTAGTATTAATTCCAGTAATACTTAGCAAATTTGCACCAGTACAGTTTCATTTCCTACCCTCCTCTGTTCTGTTATGGACATAATGCATCTATATATCTTACAAACTCAACAATAGGATGGCATAATTACTGCTTTAAAGACCAAAAGAAGGGTATATATAACACACACACACGAGTGCAAACGCACACACGCACAGAAGAGTCTCCTATTCACCAGCCTATGTCCCATTTCCTATGTTCTGCTTTACCTCTTAGGGATCCAAGTTACCCTTTGGTGTTCTCTTTCATCTTAAAGACTTCCCTTAGTGGTTCATCAAGGTAGGTCTCTCTGTGTGTGCACACGTGCTAGGCATTGAATCCAGGGCCTTGCACACCTCAGCAAGCATGATGCCACTGAGCTACAGCCCCAGCCTAACAAGTTATCTTTATTTGGCATTGTTTTTTATTCTGCCTTCAGTTTATTTTTATTTTTATTTTTTTGGTACTGGGGATCAAACTCAGGACCTTGCGCTTGCAAGGCAGGCGCGGTGCCACTGAGCTAAAAATCCCCAGCCCTTGCCTTCAGTTTTTGAAAGATAGTTTATCTGGATATAGGATTGTAGTTAGCAAGTTTTCTTTTTTTTGCTCGACACTATGAATTTGTGGTTTTACTACTTTAGGGTCACCATTGTTTTGAATGAGGAGTTGCTCATTGGTATTATTAGTTGTATGTGATGAATCATTTTTCTTTTGCTGTTCTTTAAGATTTTTTCTTTGTCTTTACACTCAACCGTTCCTCCACAGCATGCTTTCAGCTCCTATTCTGATCTTTAACATCTTTTGTCATTTGGAGAAGCTAACATCTTTCTAAATAATTCATTCTTAGCTCAGTGTGTAACGGTTTCCCCCTCTAAACTCTTTTCTCTCCTATTTTGTTAGAGCAGCCAGAACAAACCAGGAAGTACCTTCCTTGCTGTGTGGAAATACCCTTAGCCTCCTAACAAGGTTTGCCTCTGGCAAGTTCTGCTTTTCATGTAGGTGCAGGAGATGTTTGCTAAGTTCTCTGCCACAACACACCAAAGACTCCTTTCTGTCAGTTTCCAGTAACATGTTCTGTGCTCCCTCCTGAGTTCTTATTGGCAGCATCCTCAACACCCCCTGACCCCCACCTATACTAAGGATTGAACCCAGGGCCTTCACACTGAGCTACACCCACCACCAGCCCCCTCCCCTTTTTGAGACAGGGTCTTGTTGCCAAGACACCGAGGAGGGGCTCAAACTTGTGATCCTCCAGCTTCAGCCTCCCAGAGTGCTAGATTACAGGTATGCACCATCACACTTAACAAATCTATGTTTTTACCAGGAGCCTGTTTAAGGAAATGTAGGCTTCTCAATTAGGCTCCTCGAAATTCCTCCTGCCTCCTCCCACACTGTAGGTATTTGTTACAGCAGCATCTCACTTCCAGGCACCAAAACCTATATTAATTTTCTGTTGGTGTGTAATGAATTACTCAGTAGTGCTGAAAACAGGCTCCACTTGCTGTCTCCCAGTTTCTGTGGGTCAGAAGTCATGCCCTGGAAGGACTTGCCTGGCTCAGCAGGGTTCTCAGCTCTGCCCCTCAGTGGCTGAAATCAAGGGCCAGCCTCCTGCTGTCTCATCTGAGACTTGGTATCTTCTTCCCAGCTCATTGTTTCTTGGCAAAATTCAATTCCCTGTGGTTGTAGGTCTGAGAAGCTCAGCTCCTAGAGCAGTGATGGCGAACCTTTTAGAGACCAGTGCCCAAACTGCAACCCGAAACCCACTTAGTTATCACAAAGTGCCAGCATGACAATTAATCCTGAATACTGAGGTTTTAGTTTAGAAAAAACAACTCATACATTAACATCTTTTGTCTTAAAAGAAAAACAAATAACACACATGTCATAGGTTCACCACCCCTGGCCCAGAGGTTGCTCCTGAGAGAGTTTGTTGCTGCCTTGAGGAAGTAAGCTGCCACCTCAGGATGGAGTCACATGGTTAGGAACTGCCATGGCCTCTAGGCGCTCAGAGTAGCCAAGTTCAGGTTGAATTCCTGGAATGAGAGACTTATCAGGGTGATTATCCCATCAATGGCAAGGTGGACAGGGCAGGTGCAGTTGGAGACCTTGGCTTAGGGACTCCATCCCTGTTGTCCCAACTAACTCACATTCAAGAAGGTTCCATTTTGAAGATATTAAAAAGTCCCAAGAAACTAAATCTTCACCATGTGACAAGCTTCTTTCATGTCAGTTGGAAAGGATCTGTTTTATTTAGATGAGTCAATTCTGGGTTGCTTTATGGGCCATCTGTTAAACTGAAATGTCCTACTAACCAGCTTCCCTTTCCCTCCTACTCAGTGCTTTTCACACTTTAGTGGGCTTTGTGGCACCACCTGGCACCTTGTTAAAGCAGCTTTGAGCTCATTAGGTCTAGTATGGGGCCTGAAATTCTATACCTCACAAGTTCCTAGGGAACACTGTTCCTTCTAGTTTGTGAACCGTATTTTGAGTAGCAAGATTTAAGGTGAGAGGACAAAGAAGAGAAATCTCTTAGTTGGCCAAGTCATCGTGTCTTCCTCTCATGACACACTAGATGGTGATGTCAGCTCAGGGAATGCGACAGTGCTTTTGCGAGGCCAAGTCTCTTGGTCCGTGGGATGGGAGACTGAGATGCGTCCCAGAGATCACTAGTGCCAAACATAGCTGACGGGAAATGTAAGCCGGTGAGGGAAGTTCAAGGTGCCCTTGAACTCACAGCAGTGCTCCTGCCTCAGCCCCCCGAGTGCTGGGATTACAGGTGTGAGCCACCACACTTGGCTTGTTGTTTTTCTTAGAGTTAAAATCATACTCTATTTTTAAGGTTTACCTTCAAAAGTTGGCTTTGCTGTATTAAGTTATAAAGTCAAATCATTTTTTTTTAATCTTGATTTTAAAGGTTTTGCCCCACAGCATGGTGTATTCTAGCCATGTTTATTTGATAAGTAGACCTGGAAACAGTGAGATTTACTGTTACACTCTGAATTTCTCACCTTTATACACAACTTTAGAGGTATTATTCTGTCTGATCTTTTAAGGTCTGTTAGGTTCAGATTGCTGCCTCCTGTCTGCTGCCAATAATAAAATATAATAATAATACCATTAAGTAGGTACTGTTCTAAGTGCTTTATACCAATGGGCTAACTTAATTCTAAAACATCCAGTGAGCCAGCTGCTTTTCCTTAAAAGCTCACCCCTGTCCTACAGGTGAAGACATCGGGGCTCAGGGAGGGCCTGAAACTGGACACAGCTAGTCAGTGCAGTACTAGCTTTGCCCAGGTCCACTCCAGAGCGCAGCTGTTCCTGCTCTGTCTGGCCTCTCAGAGGGGAGGAGAGTTGAGTCCCACAGCTGATAGTCCTGACTGAACGGCCACCCCTCCCTCTTAGCCCACTTACATAACAGCACTGGCCCTGGTGTATGACAAGTCAGTCCTCTTGGAGAGTACAGGAGGTTATGGCTGATTTATATCTCTGGGCAAGCACACTTCTTTTGAAAGTGTCACCCCAGGGAGAAGAAGCAGGGACAAGAAACAAGGACAGTGGTCCACATGTTGCCTCAGGGACCAGACTTCTTCCTCTGCATGCAGTTGTCCAGGAAGAACTTGGTTTTGCCCATTCTGACACTCTGTGGTCTTTTTCTTTCAAAGGGATCAGGGACTAGGGGCTCAGGGGTTGGGGATATTTCTTCAGTTTCCCCTTTTGAGGTACTTGCTGCACTGCCAGAGAGGTCCACAGTCAGCTGTGATTGCTCCATCCAATTCCTATCCATCCTCTCAGTGCTTAATACCCATAGGATGGAGGGTTCTGTCTCAACCCCGGAGTCATGATTCCTCTGTGAATCATCTGAAACCTTCTCTTAAAAGGCAGGGGTCAATGGAAGATTGCTCATGGGAATTTAGTTAAGACAGTTCTTTCAGCATCCTATAAAGAAATTACCAGATGGGTGTGCTCATTGGGCAGCTCTAGTTATTAATCCAAGAGTAACTACAAAGTCCCACTGGGCTCTGATAACCAACTGTTAGAAAAGAAAGCAAATTACTCAGTTCTACACTTTGCAGGGATCCCTCCTCTCTGTCCCCAGCACGTGATCAGCTGATCCTAACCTGTCCACTGCCAGTGAGGGGAAGTCCTCCCTTGACATGCGCCCATCTGTTCTTGAGTGTCTTCCAGTGAAACTGAGATGGGTCTTACTGCGGCTTCCCTTGCTGCTCTGGATCCCTCTTGAAGGCCACCCAGTATGTTTGCTCTCAGAGAGGATCTGTCCCTGAATCCCGTCAGTGCCAGGCCGGGCAGTCCTAGCTTCCTCAGCCCGTCCTCATGTGATATGGTTTTCACAGGTTTGAGGAGGAAGTGAAGACAGATGTCTGCATTAAATCTGGTGCATTTAACCAGAGGGCAGGACTCTGTCTTGCATTCCTGAAGAGAGGTCCAGCCAGCCT